GAAGAAAAAAAGATGGAGAAGCAGAGAAAGGAGAAGAGAGTGAAGAAGAGGTTAATCGCCGGCGAGGACATTGTTAGGAGTGTGAGGGAAGAGAGAGTGGTGAAGCGAAGATATAAAGGAGAAGAAAGAATGAGAGGGAAACTGGCTGTTGCCAGCTGCAGCGCGTCTGTGTCGTCACGCGCCCACCTTTTGCCTCTTGTCTCCTCCGATTGACATAAATGGGGACTGGGAATGCGATTCTAACCCCTTTTTCTTTTGGAAAAATATATTTACATAATAACCTTATTTGCATTATGAGAGTATTATTTTTTACACTTATAAATATGAAAAACATTTTATTAACATTTTATTAATATTCTATGAATTGACATAATTTCTTTTGTTAAAATGAACATTTATAATATATTGATATTTTACGAGTTCGTACCCAAAACATTTTAGAATTTCACACTAATTCTTTTAATGAAGATTTTGATGTGAGCGTTTCATGTTCTTGAGTTATATATCAATAAATATTATTTACAGCTGAAATTTGGATGTTGACATACCTTTGTGCAAAAAGATTAATCTGAGAAACTACTTAATACAAATGACTTAACTGTTTTAATAACTTTAAGAAGTTGGAAAGAAAGAAAACTGGGAAATGTTTGTTAACTGGAAAATGTTTGTTACTATGAGTCAAGTTGACTCTTTATTAGGAATAGTGACCATAAAACTAAGGTGTGTTTGATGTTACATGCAGAATTCGTTTTCAGTGTTTCCAGATACCTATAACATTCCCCACTAATATATTTTTAGTATCATTTTTCCGTTTGCCATTTTCTCAAATATAAATTCTCCAAAACTGATAACTAAACCACTATTACTAAAGAAGAAAATCATGAGCCCCTGAGATAAATAACGGATTCGAATAGCTAAAGAAGAAAGATCTTCTCTTTTGTTTTGTATGGTCTCTTGACGAATTAAATATATAAGTAAAATGCAAATGTTGGCCCTCTTTATCTATGTATGTAGTACTTCTTTTTGTCACTGGCTATAATTAAGGCACACTTTATAGAGATCCGTGGATAAGAAAATATCTTAAGAGGTTGTTGAGACTTTTGAGTCTCTTGATGCTATCTTTTCACTTTATTTTACTCCATTGTAATTCTCATTTTGAGTTTTTGTTTTCTTCCAACGCTAGATCACATGTATGCAGTATCTTGCTGAGAGCATATGCAATGGTAAGTTTGTGAAAAGAATCCTTAGGAATAGAATACATATTCTTCTTTGATCAAAAAAGAATATGTATTTTTTTTTTTTTTTTACTTTTTGAATAGTCAAAGATTGTTATCAAATTGGTGTGTAATGGTGTTTCTGGTTTTGGAGTCCTTAAGAATAAAAAATATATATTTTTTTAAAAAAAATGAAATTTAAGTTTTTATTTATTATACATGATTCAATAAAAAGATACAACAATTAATAATCTTCATCACCAAATGTTTTGAATTAAATCATTTTTCAGTCGGTCATGAACTTGTTTATCACGAAGATCATTCCGATTGGGAAACAAATTATTCATGTTTGTAGGTATCTCGGTTTCCACCTGTGAACTTCTGGTGACGTCTCCTTCAAATTCAGATATATCGATCCGAGTGTATCCATCCCGTTCATTTTCGACTATCATATTGTGTAGGATGATACATGCTCTCATAATGTTCCCTATCTTTGCTTTTTGCAATGTTTTCACCGGGTTTCTCACAATCGCAAATCGAGCTTGTAATACTCCAAAAGCCCGCTCCACATCTTTTCGGACTGATTCTTGAACTTTAGCAAATAACTCTTGTTGAGGGCTTTGAGGGAGGGTGATAGATTGGATAAATGTTGACCATTTTGGGTAAATACCGTCTGTAAGGTAGTACGCCAACTTATACATGTGTCCGTTGACCTTGTACTTAACCCTCGGAGCTCGACCTTCTAAAATGTCATAAAAACTGGAGACCGATCAAGGACATTAATATCATTTAAGGTACCTGAAGGACCGAAGAAAGCGTGCCATATCCAAAGATCATGTGAAGCTACAGCCTTTAAGACAATTGTTGGTTTTCCTGATCCTCGTGCGTACTGTCCTTTCCAAGCCGTTGGACAGTTTTTCCAGTCCCAATGCATACAATCAATGAGATCATCCCAGGAAACCCGCGTTTCTCTCCAATATCGAGTAGTCGTTGAAGATCCTCCGCGGTGGGGCATCGTAGATACTCATCTCCGAATAACTGTATTATTCCGTCAGTGAATTTATGTAGACATGAAAGTGCAGTGCTCTCACCAAGTCGGAGATATTCGTCGACCGTGTCTGCCGCAGTACCATAAGCTAGCAGACGAATTGCTGCCGTACATTTTTGTAGTGCCGAAAGACCGAACCTCCCGGCCGCATCTCTTCTTTGCTGAAAGAATGGAAAGCTCTCTGATAGGCCATGAACAAGACGCAAGAATAATTCCTTATTCATGCGAAAATGGCGTCTGTATAAATGAGAAGAGAATGTCGCATTTTCGCTGAAATAGTCATTCCATAAGCGGGTGTGTCCACCTTTGCGGTGTCGTTCTATATAACCACGTCTCCTTCGCGGTATGGTTTGGGCCTCCACTATGTTGTCGAATGTTTCTTCCAAGTATTCGTCGATTATTTCGTCCAATCTTTCATCGACTTCATCGGATGAAGATGATGACATATCTAGATATCCTGTTATAAGTTCAAATTATATACAAGTTTTTAAAAATAAATTGATACAAGTTCAAAATTTTAGATAAATATAAATTGATACAAGTGATATTCAAATTATAATACAAGTTCAAATTAAATACAAGTTTTTAAAAATAAATTGATACAAATTCAAATTTTTAGATAAATATAATTTGATACAAGTGATATTCAAATTATATACAAGTTCAAATTATATACAAGTTTTTAAAAATAAATTGATACAAATTCAAAATTTTAGATAGATATAAATTGATACAAGTGATATTCAAATTATATACAAGTTTTTAAAATTAAATGGATACAAGTTCAAATTTTTTAGTAAATGGATACAAGTTCAAAATTGGTACAAGTTGAAATTATATATCAGTTCTATACAAGTTCAATTTTTTTAGTAAATGGATACAAGACGATGACCAAACATATGATTACCAAGTTCAAAATTGGTACAAGTTGAAATTATATATCAGTTCTATACAAGTCCACTTTGATCAAACAAATCGTGATTCCTACAACCAACTGATGAACTAGCAAGACGATGACCAAACATATGATTACAAGCAATAAGTTACCAAACTTAAGAGTAGTTAATACATTACCCGATTAATAGAAGGAGTACTTGTTTCTTACAACTTGCCGTGGAAAGGAAGATTACATCAAAATAGGATTACAACTCCGAGAAAAAAGAAACAAAAGACAAAAGTTCTGGTGGAAACAAAAGAAAAGAACCCGAGATAACTACCTAAAGACATGATAACTACTTATAGAACATTTCTTACACCCGTGACTCTAGCTAAACAACACTTCCACCCGTGACTTCAGCTCCCTTGTTCTACACCTGACAGAACCAAAAGACATGTGAAACTTTAAGAAAGTAGTTATAACAACTCAGGAGAACTTGTCACGAGATACTAAAACATGTCAATACATTTCTACCTATGACAATATACATTTCTACCTAATACGCAATACAATTCTACCTAAGAGCAATACATTTCTACCTAAGAGCAATACATTTGTACCTCATAACATCTCTGACATCAGTTTTAGTTTAAGCGAAGTTTCCATCTCAGTGAGTGGATCTTTCTTGGCAAGTAATATTCAAGCAGTTTCTGCTTAGAGATTACTTGTTTCACTTCCAAGACAGCCTGTAACTGTGTCAACTCGAGTTCTTTCCCACTCTTCTTCTTCTTAGCATTAGCTTTAGCAGCCTTGACCCCAATAGGTCTAGCTTCCGGTTCTCCCACTTCATCTTCAGTATCAACATCCACAGCCTGCTTGCGTTTTTCCTTCCCAGCTTCCTTAGGCAGATACGTCGAGGACCATTTCTGGTCATGCCTGAGCTCTCTCCAGGCATGTTCAAGAGTGAACTTGTAGGCCTGAGCATCGAAGAAATTTTCTAGGGCAGTCTGCATCAGATCATCATCGTTTTCACCACTACTCTGCTTTCTCAAAGCCGCGTTGTAGCATCCAACAAACTTGCACACTTCCGCATTGATTCTAGCCCACCGCTGCTTGCAGGAACCAATCTCTCTAGGTCCTGTTCCAACTAGTTGAGGGCTGGCGTTGTAGTACTCCACGATTCTTTTCCAGAAAGCAATAGCTTTCTTTTCATTGCCGACAACTGGATCCTTACTGGTGTTAAGCCAAGCACCAATAAGGATTTTATCCTCCTTCGGAGACCACTTCCTCCTCTCCTTCCCACCGGTCTCGACAACAGCTTCTTCTTGACTATGGTTACCGAACCATAAAGGTTCTTGGGATTCAAGGTTAACTGAACTTTGACTGTACAAAAGGTTAACATAACTAGTTGTGTTCTCCATGGATAGAGAATGGTTTGTGTCGCTCTATTAGCAACACATAGGCTTAAGTAAGGGAGCTTTAACTACCAAGCATTCAAAGGCAATTAAATCATAGTAGATAGGAAGGTAGAAAGCAAACAAACAGAATTTAAAACACATCAAATCACAGTAACACGGTATTGTAATAGTTTAAAACTTTTAAAACCATCAAATCCGTAGTAGGTTGGAAGGTAGAAAGCACACAAATAGCTTTTAAACATTTAACACAAATAGCTTTTAAACATTTAACACAAATTCTATTTTAGCTATTTAAAACCATCAACTCTAAAGCAAACAACTCGCATTTACGAAAGAACCACATAAGTAAACTAAATACATGGTTACGTATAATACAATGGTTTCTGCTTAAATACGCACCTTTATACATACACTGTTGAGGTCAGAGACAGCCGTTGATCCTTTCAAACTCTTCCTGAAAAGATGAGATCAAAAAGTCAGCAAAATTAGAAATAAAAACATAAATGATCAAAGAGTTAGACTTACCATTAAGATACAAGACCGCCAAACCTAGTACAACTAATGCACACACCATTACATAAACGTCCAAAGCGAAGCCATGGATCGTGACCTCTGCTTCCTTCTTATTAGGTAACTCACCAACGGTACTCTCTAACTTATCCAGCTTCCAAGCATTCCCATGGACTTGATCCGTGAGATCCCTAAGTTGACTCTGAAAGTCAGTCATCTCCTCTATCAGAGTGGTGTAAGATGTTGCGAGAACAGTCTCACCATCACCGTAGCAAGTCCTCTGGATTCCATCAACAGCCTCAGTTTCAGGTGGGAACTGAAACGGTCCTGCCGCATTGTACCTACTATCTGCTTCATCGGCGTACAATCGAGCTTCTTCTTCAAGAAGGGGAGTTATGTCGAACTCGTCAGATGAAGAAGGCTGGGTGTACGAGTAATCTTGTCCCATGCTTGATTAACCTGAAAGAAAATATAAGAATATTAGATAGAATTTACATAACATTTTCTCTGTTTATTATTTAAAAATTTCTTAATCTTTTTCGAATATTATTTTAAAATTAAATACACAAATAAAACTAAAGCAACATTAATATTTATATAACACATTTAACTAATAAAACAGCTATATAATAGAAATAATGACACAACTTAAACAAGTATGGAATTAGACCATTGATATAACAACAACTATCGAACTACACTGTTGTATGTTTTTTCTTCTTGTGATTACAACGTTTTTGGCAGGCTAATCATCTCCGATCAATTAGTCTTTTGTAAGTGCCAATCCTAATATTAATTTTGGACCGTAGGTTTATATTGGTAATAATTTAGCCTTTTTGATCGTGGTGGTCCATCATTACTCATTAGGTATGGTTTTTCTTTTGCTACATACGAATCTTAATATATACTACTATACGTTATTTTTGGCACACTATTTTAGACATTTTTTCGTTTGCCAGCTATATATGTAGATGACCAGCCACTTGGGAAGTAAATAGCTCCAACAATTCGTGTTACACATACGAAGCGGTGCTTTCAAGTTTATAATAAGTTTCCATAAGAGTTGCAGATGTATTGAATTTCAAAATAATTTGCTACAAACTCCCTCCGTTTCATATTAAATATCATTGTAGAGAATTTTTTACGTTACAATATAAGTATTATTTTTTAGTTTTCAATACAAAATTTATTAATTTTATTATATAATTAATTTTTCTATTGGTTAAAATATGGTTACGTGTATAGGTAACTGTGTTTTTATATAGAAAATATATAAAATTAATTATTTCTTAATCCATGTGTACCGCTGTAGATTGACACTTATAGTGAAACAGAGGGAATATATGATAGTCTATTCTTCCGGATAACTATCGTCTTTAGATTTGGAAAAAAAAATTATGTTAAAATCACTGATATTCTAGACGCTAGTCGGACCGTTGGTATAAACCTAATAGACTAACAAAAAATCATGAATTATTTGAGAATTAATCAGAGAATAGTTTTAGTATTTTACCAATTTTTCCGATAACATATTGAATATCATTTCACTTTGGGAAAGGTAGTAATAAATTCCAGTGGTTTAGTGGTAAGAATTTTTAGTTTATTTACTTAGATTCTGTGTTTGAGATAACTAAAACGTATTTTGAATTTTTTCTTTCAAGTTTAATATTTAAATAGAAGATATAATTGTAACTTTTTCATTCTTTCCTCAAATGTTGTAAAGACTTCCATTTTAGAAAGCTAATTTCACGGTGGCCATCAACTATTTTTTCAAAAATCCTCAAATTGTTTCATGATCTCATGTTAGTTATATCTCAAATATATAGATTTACCAGTAAAAAGAGTTTTAAAGATTCAAAACTAAAAAAAATAGAAAAAAAAATTGGGGCTTTCGATTTGCTCGTCGCCTATGGCAAAGTTGCTACGGCCAAGCACTACTCAAAGTCTCGCTGGCGCTTAATCGGATGCCTTGACCGCGTTTTTGAATAGGGGTTAAAACATAAATAACTCTTTTCTATTTATAAATAGTGTACATTTGACCATTATACTTAACCAATTTTCTATTGTTTTTAATTTTCCAAATCTAGTTATTATTGAATATATATAATATCCCAATGTTAAAGATCTAAATAACTAATCTATTTTTTCAAGGGTAATTTTGTGAGACATACATAGTAGAAAATAATTAAGAATATAAGCATACACTAAAACGTGTGATAATTTGGTATGAAAATAGATGACTTTTTCTGGGCATAACAATTCATTTATATTATAATGTATTATACTATATTTTTCAAATATATCGTATAGAATAATCAATACATAAAAATAAATTTTTTAAGGAGAATGCAAAGGATGAGAAAGATGAGGAGGAAAAGAAAATAAGACGGACGCAGAGGAGGAGAAGGAAAACGCATGACCAGAAGGAGAGAAGGAAGAGGAGGAGGAGGCTGGGCGGGAAGAAAAATAAGAGGAAGAGGAGGCATGACATGGAGGGAGAAGAGTATGAGGAGGAAGAGAGGAGGAGGCAGGGCAGGAGGATGAGAGAAAGATTCAAAAACTTAATACCATATCTTATACTATACCACATTCTTTATCTAAATGGTATAAATGTTTTGACAAAAAAAATTGGTATGGATGAAAAATGCATCGAACATGGGGTGGAAGAGATTTAATGTGTGTAGACTAATATGCAAAGCATATTTAAAGACCAACTCTCATCATGTCATGGTTTGTTATGTGATGGTAAATTCTTTCATATTAAATGTTCTGCACATATCCTCAATCTTATAGTTCAATATGGTCTTAAATTTGTCGAGGGTGCTTAGCATAAGATTCAATAGACAGTGAAATGGATTAAGTGGTCAGAAGGAAGAAAAGACATGTTCATAGATTATGTTAAAGATGTTGGTCTTGAGTATGAAGTTGCTTTGAAGATGGTTATATGATAAGGGTTTTTAAGCCTTAGAGCAAATCAATGTAGTAAGGTAAGTAGAGTGTCAATCCAATTCTGATAGCTATTGAACAAAGAAAATGCAAGACATTGCTTAATCTAAATGCAATCAATGAGAATTTGTTTTATAAGTAACTAGTAACAAGCATTATGTAAACAAGAATAACTAAGCTTTGGTTTCAATGAGATAAAAGAGCATATGGATAAGGGTATTGACTTTGGGTGATCAAGTTACTATCTAGGGTGAGGTTTCAAGCAATCATTCATATCCTATAGGTCTATACACAATTCTAAGATAGTCCCTTGGTCAAGGTAAAAACTCATTTGCTATCAATCTTTAAACACAAATGGTCATTGGTCTAAATCAATCAAGCAATCATTGAGAACAAGTCTACTAACCATGTAAGCCTTCCTAACATGAAGTATCCTTGGTTAAGCAATCAAAAAGCATTATTACTTTGGTTCAGGCATTTCATCATACACCTTGTGGGCATGAAATGCCTAATGATCTAGTTTAGAAGGATTAGGTCTAATCTAGCATTGAGAATAAGTAATAAGCATAGGACAAGAAGGATCTAACACTAATCACCCTAGATCATCACTTAATCACCCTAATCACCATCACCCATAAGCTCAAAGAGAGTCTACTCACTAATCTTCATGTTTAATCTTAAACCCATGATGAATAGAAGACCAATCATGATTAGAAGAAGAGATAGACTCAAATTACTCAAGAAACAAAGCTTATATTAATCAAGGATTCAACTTTTCAATGTGTTTTTTGAGAGAAAAGAAGATAATCCCGTCATGAGGGCCTAAAATGTATTTATAGGATTCTTAAAAACCCTAATGGACTCAGTGAACAAGCTGAACATGCCCAACAAAAACATAAAATTTGTCAGATGAATAGTGTTGGAGCGGGTGTCTTGGGTCGCTGTGATACCCCGCTCCAGAACGTGCTCAACGTGGAGCGGGGGTTCTGGGTTGCTGCGCTACCCCGCTCCAGGACGCGCTCAATGTGGAGTGGGGGTCCTGGGTCGCTGCGCCTAGTAGATTGATCATAACTCCTCCAATACATATCCAAATGACTTGAAACCACTTTCATTAGAAAACTAACACAATTTACCATGTACTCCCAAAATATGAGCTTCAAAAGATATCTTTAAGGTCTCCATCCATGTTGATCTTTCATCTTTTTGCATCACAAATATCTCTAAACACCTCCAAAAGCTCAATAGGACACTCCAACACCTGAGAAAGACTTATGAATGCAATATGGATCCTAAAGATGTCTAAACCTAAATCTATATGATGATTTATGTACAAAATTAAATGCTAAAATTATGTAAATATGCATCATATCAACTCCCCCAAACTACTCATTTACTTGTCCTCAAGTAATTAACTAAGATCAGAGAGAGAGAGAGAATGAAAATGGGAGCTCAAAACCAAAGGATACACTTCTTAAACTCAAAACCACATCCTAGACAAACATAACCTATAGCATAAGCAACCTCAATTATTACACTCTATCTTCACAAGGCCTAGCAAGACTCTTTCTTTTAGAAAAGTTGTGGATCACCAATCAACAAATCTCTTCAACCAACCCTCACATTCAATTAAGCATAAGCAATAAGGTGAAGTCTTGCAAATAGAAACTTGATCTCAATCATTTGGCTTGGTAAGTGAAATGGCTAAATGAGAATAGAATAGGGGTTTCAATACATTTCTTTTTAGTGGCTTACACTCAAGAATATGAGCTTGATCATTATGCAAAATCTATCTAAGAAAAGGAGAAACTTATGCATACATTGCTTGTTCTTATCAATCTACCATTTTCCTAGACAACTTCAAACTCTACCATTTTCCTTGGTGTAAATTTCAAACCCATTCGTTCCCAAAATCATTAAGATCACTCTCTTATTTCACTCACCCAATGAACTCATTCTCTTTTCTTTTATTTTTAACCAACTAGGGACTTTTTCTTTCACTTTTTACTTAAGCTCTACTCTTATTTTTCTTATGTCTTCCCCAAAGTCTTTTCTAGACTCTTTTCTTTCTTTCTTTTCTTAGCCTAAGGGGTTTCTTATTTGAAGTTTCTAGAGCTTTTGTTTCCTTTTCTTTTGATCCCTAGTGGTTTTCTTTTGTTTTTCTTTCTTTTAGTTAATTCTTTTCACTCATCTAACACCCCAAGATCCCAAGATAAATTCTTTTGCATCACAATACCAAACTTCCCATCCTAATTGCTAGCTCTTAAGAGATCCTATAGCTAGCCTGAGATAAGAACAACCAATGTCGCCCCTAATACTCTCAAGTTTTTGCACATGACAAGCTATCAAAAGAGACCTCACACAAGCAAAATGATTTAGGCTTCAAAGAATGGTAAGGGTTTAAAGGTGTGGGAGTGCCATTGGGTTTTATAAAGAGTGGTAGAAAGGATAAGTAAAACCCAAATGTGTATAATCCATGACCAAGCATGCAAGAAGAATTAAATTCATTCAGCTTTAAGTTAATTTGGAGTTGGTTTAAAGGAGAATGTCAATCTCACACAAGCAACAAGTTTCAAGAACAGTTTTCAAGGCTCAAAGCATGCAAGCTTTTCAAGAGATGCTTAAGCTACTTGCTATGATCAGCTAGGGTGAAGTTTTGAGTTCTAAGCATGTGTTTCCTTATTAGGCCAGTGCCAAATGCATGAATGCAATCTAAATGCTTCTAGACTCAATCCTAAAGATGCAAATGATGCAACCTAAATGCTCGTTTTTGTTTCTTTTTAGCAATTTTTTTTTTATTTTTTTTTTTGATTTTTCTATGCATATGAGTCACAAATTGGTTGTAAAATCATATATGTTATGTTATTTAATATTGGAATATATATATATATATATATGTGTATGTTTATATATTTACCTTTCAAAATAATCAATCGATGGATGCTCGCAATTAAGAAGAATATAAAGGTGTGCACTATGAACGTTTTCATCTCTCGACCACCAAACCTCTTTCAATTTCCCACCCAATCGCCCAATTTGACAAAAGATGTCTGGAACATCGTCTTCCATATATGTCGACACGACACCACCATCATCATATCTTCTTGGAGCTCGTTTCCTTGTACGTACTTTCGGTGCAAAGTAGTACGATGTGAAATGTGATGTTTCTTCCGTCAAACTTCCCGCAACAATAGAACCTTCAACTCTTGCTAGTTTTTTGGCTTTTCCTTTCAAAGTTTTCATGGCCCTTTCATACTGATACATCCATCCATAATGCACAGGTCCACAAAGTAATGCCTCATACGGGAGGTGAACAACTAGGTGTTCCATGACGTCGAAAAAAGTGCTTCATGTACTTTTGCCGGTAGTAGCTCCGCAAATGCAAAGGAAAATAGTCGCTGCATAAAGACATGACAATCATGGCTCTTCATCCCGGAGAAATTTTGCCCTTTCTCAGCACATCTTGAGAGATTTGAAACATACCCATCAGGTAACTTCACTTCTGAAGCCACCCAGTTGAACAACGCAGACTTTTTTTCTGATGACAGTCTAAATATTGAAACTGGAACTTGCCCATTGCTTTTTATATGTAGCTCACTCCTCGAGCAGATATCAGGTAAGTCCAACCTCGATTTTACGTTGTCTTTCGTCTTTCCTGGGACATTCAAGATAGTGTTCACAATGTTCTCAAAAAAGTTCTTCTCTATATGCGGCACATCGAGTTTGTGGCGCAAAAGAAGATATTTCCAATATGGCAATTCCCAAAATATACTCTTTTTGTTCCAATTGTGCTGAACACCATAAGAATCAGGCATATTACTGGGAACATGTCAATTCCCACAACGAGGAGATGTTTCTAGAGCACCGTAGTAATCGATTTGCGTTTCGATTTGTTCTCCAGTTAAATATGGAGGAGGAGTGTCTCTGACAACCCTTTTGTGTCTGAACAATTTCTTGTTTCTTCGGTATGAGTGGTAAACGAGAAGAAATCGACGGTGACAATCGAACCAAGTAGTCTTCCTACCATGCTTTAACTGAAACGAATATGTCATTCCATTACAATATGGACAAGCTAATCTCCCATGTGTAGTCCACCCAGACAACATTCCATATGCAGGAAAGTTATTTATGGTCCACAAAAGCATCGCTCGCATCGTAAAGTTTGTTTTCGTTGAACAATAATATGTCCTCACCCCTGTTGACCACAAATATTTCAACTCTTTTATCAGTGGTTGTAGAAAAACGTCGAGAGATATTTTTGTATCTTTTGGACCAGGTATTAATATGGTCATGAATAGAAACTCTCGTCGCATGCACATCTCTGGTGGCAGGTTATACAGTGTAAGAAAGACCGGCCATAATGAATATTGTCTCCCAAACATTCCAAATGGACTAAATCCATCAGTGCATAATCCAAGATACACATTCCGGCTATTATTAGGGAAATGGGGATGTACATTGTTAAAATGTTTCCAGGCTCTTGCATCTGATGGATGAGTCATCTCTCCATCCGTCTGAGTATGCTTGGCATGCCATCTCATTTCTCCAGCAGTCTCCTCAGATTGGTACAATCTTTTCAATCTGTCTGTGATTGGTAGGTACCACATCCTTTGGTATGGTACCCTATTACGCCCTCGACCTTGCGGTTTGAATCGTGGCTTCTTACAAAATCGACATTCTTCTAACTTCTCATCATCTCCCCAGTAAATCATGCAGTTGTCGATGTAAACGTCTATCATCTCCGAGGGTAACCCAAGACTATATACCAATTTCTGAATCTGATAATAAGATTCAGCAGAAACATTTTCTTCTGGCAAATACTCTTTAAACAAGTCTGCCCATGCATCCTTACAATTTTCAGGTAGATTGTGATCGGTTTAATACTCATCATTCTAGCAGCCAATGACAATTTAGATAGACCTTCTCTACAATCACTGTAAATTGGCTCATTTGCAGCTTCTAACATTACATAAAAATTTTTTGCATCTAAGTTAGGTTCTTCAACTTCATCATCATCATGAGTTACAAATGCATCACCTACCATATCATGACCCCTATCACAATCTACCATTTGTTCCTCTTGGTGATGATAGTTATTTTCATTACGCAAATAATCAACCGGTTCAACCTGAAAATTGTTATTACTACTGCTACCTTCATTCCTACAACTAGCATCTTTTCCATGTTGATACCAAATATAATAATATGGCATGAAACCTCTATTTATTAAATGCTTCCAAACATTTTCACGAGGGCCTAATTTTGTATTGAAGCATTTCCTATAAGGACATAACATCTTACCACTTTCCTGCGTGAGTGGTGTAGAATCTGCTTGATGCATAAACGTCTCCAGCCCTTCAAGATATTCTTTCGTCACTCTCCCGTTATTATCTTTTTGTGAATACATTCACTTCCGCAACTCGAAAATATTTCCCGGATCGGACATTTTTTTATCTTTGATTAAGCTTAAAGCTGGTTTTTTTTTTTGTGTGTTTGAAATGAATCACAAATGGTGGTATTTGTAGAAATTTAAAAATCTGAGCATTTACTAAGAAATTTCTAGGAAAAGTAGGTACAAAACATGTTTTAGATTTAAGTTAAATATTTTCTATCAATTTCCTCGCTAATGTGAAGTAAAAGATTATTTCCTCCTAATTTCGTAGTAAAGATTTACTAGGAATTTACGAGGAAAGCATTTACTACGAGCTTACGAGAAAATAGTCTTTTTCCACGTAGTTTCCTCGTAAGTTTACTACGGTCTTACGAGGAAAACGTTTTCTCGTAACTTTACGAGGATCTTACGAGGAAACTTGTTTTCCTCGTAAAACCGAAGTAAGTTCGTAGTAAATTTACGAGAAATTCTTTCCTACTAAAATTTCCTAGTAAATTCTTAGTTTTCATGTAGTATTTTTTGGAGGTCATAAATTTTTTAGTTATTTCACTTTTCAGCATTTGATTCAATGTTTTATCATTTAAGGTAGCCAACCAAAACGATCTACTTTAAGATGAATTAATACTTGATCGTTGTAAGTTTACAAAAAAAAAATATATATATAGATATATATAGATATATATATATATATATATATATATATATATATATATATATATATATATATATATATATATATATATATATATATATAAATATATTAAAAAAAAAAAAAAAAAAAATATATATATATATATATATATATATATATATATATATATATATATATATATATATATATATATATATATATATATATATATATATATATATATATATGATCATAGTTCAAAAACAAAAAAAAAGAAAAGATGAATTAATATTGGGTAAACGTGCTATTTCCCCACGAGAACTATCATATAGCATCAGATATCCATCGAACTATCACCTCGTGTCATATCTCCCCGAATTATAAGTTATAAACTTATTTCACCCCGAATCGATAGTTAAAAATCTATTTCTGCTCGAATTAATAGTTTAGAAGTTAATTACACATAAAAACGGTTTAACCGGTTTATTGTTAACCAAACAAAAATTCAATTTTATCAAAAAATAAGTTTTCAAAATCTCTCAAAATATGAAAATCTTCAAAATTTCTTTGATAATAGTGATAGTGTGGAGTTTGAATAGTGTATTAGCATTTTTCTGTTTGATAAAAAATAGATTATCGACGTGTTTATTTGGTTTAAATTATAGGTTAACAATAAACCAATAAAAACCATAGTCTATGTACAATTAAATTTGGAACTATCGATTCAGGGAGAAATAAATTTGTAACTTTCGATTCATGGAAATCTAGTACGAGGTCATAGTTCAGTGGATATCTGATGCTATATGATAGTTTCATGGAGAAATAGATCGTTAACCCATTAACATTTGATCAAGCGTAGTAGTATCTGGGTGTCCATTTTGTTCTCTCGCTAAGCTTAAGTGTTTATGGCCCACTCAAAATCAAAGCTACTGAAGCCCATAGAACCGCAAAAAAAAAAAAAAAACGCCGCCATCATAAATTAGGCGATAATTCTTGGTTGGTGGAAAATCGATTTACCCATGGCGTCGCTTCCCTCTGCGAGTTTGCTTCCTTCTCCATCGCTCGTGGTTCTATCCCCGACGAAGTTCTCCTCCTCCGCGCGCTCGATTGTTTGCTCTTCGTCGCGTGCTCATGGTTTCTCTGTCCCCCGTTCTTCGCCTAACCTTCGGATGAGTAGAAGAGCGAATATTAGTAATAATAATAATAAGCTGCAAGTTGTGGCTATGGCTCCCGAGGAAGAGAAGCTCACTCGTCGTAATCCTCTCGATTTCCCAATCGTAAGTTCCCTTCAATTAGATTCCGAATTCCGACACAATCTAGGTTGAGATTATTGAATCTAGATAAGGAGCTTAAGCTTATGCTGTCAGAGCTTTTAATCATCACTAGATTTTATACTCGCGCTACGCGCGAGTCTGTTTTAATAATTTAGTTTAATTAAAATAACTTAAAACTAAAATATTAATAGATTAATATAATTTTCTTATTTAAAATATAATCTTTAATTTAGTATTTATGTTTTCTTATAATTATGTTATCTTATTAGCTATTTAGTTATTTGTATTTGTAAATATAATAATTATGTTTCTAAACATATTCATATTTTTTGGAAATATTAATTTATATTTTAAAATATTAAATAGATTTCTCAATACATGTAAACTTTTAA